TTGGGATTGACATATAACTTCAACTAATCAAATCAATCTATGCCTTATCAAAAAGGATGGATATATGATATATATGTAGAATTTACGGATAGGCCAGTGAGTTTTATTGATTCATCTTGAATGTGGCTGTAAGAATGATACCTTGCTCTGGTGATGTCTGTGATATAACGGACGAAAGCTTAGCACATCACTGGAATAGAAGAGGATTGCCTTACCTAGGTCTTAGCAGCAGGTTTGAGTCTCTTTGGGCGAATAAAGATCTTACATATCTCATTTCATATTCCTAAAAATCATCCAGCAAACCAGACTTCATTGTTCTTCAATTTTTTGGAGGAGTTAATCAGTGGATCGTTGTATTGCACATTGAACTAATATAAAATATTTCCCAGCTATGCATTACAAGTGTTTTTATGAATACGCTCTTCTAAATTAATAGGATAAATGTATTTTATTTAGTATTTAAATAGCTAAACTCATATTATATATGAAAACCTTTTATCATATTTAGTATAGTACACGCTGGACTGAACCGATCAGCGACAACGAACTCTTTTCTCCCCTGCCATCTATTTCATCTATTCGCCGGTGCTGCAGGTGGCGCTGCTGCCATTTACGTTTTAGACGTCTGAGTCATCTAGCCCCACTTGCCTGGATGATTGTGTTCGGTGACGGTCTGCATAACTTAATGGATGGTCTTTCAATTGGTGTGGCTTTTCGAGAGCGAATAGGCGCTGGACTTAGCGTCTCTTTAGGAATTCTCTGCGAAGAATTGCCTCACGAGTTAGGTAAGCATTCTGAACCTTTGAAAGGATGTCTCAAATGTTTCTTGATTCGCTCTTTTTTGATAGTCTTTCTTATGCTGAGTATTCAAATGGTATACGGACATGGTTGAATCTTGATTATCTAAACTGAACAGAAGAAAATATAGGAATTTGTTTACGAGATGAGTCTCGAAAATCTACTAATAAACGAAAAATATGAATTTTTTTGGATTTTATAATAAGCCGAGTTCATTTTAGTGCCATTATCAATTGAAACGAGTATCAGTTTAGAAATTATGCTTATTCCCCAATTTTATCGTTCTCTGCTATTTTAGGTGCTCGGATGAAGTCATTGCTCATTTAATAAATGGTTATATGGTCTAGGTAGTACTTGCGAATCTATCATTATGTTTCTTAACAAATTAGATCAATTTTTATAACATTTATTAGCTTTAATTTGGACCTTTGCTTTTATTTAAGGTGTATAAGATTAGGTATTCTCAAATTTTCAAATACGGGCTGAGATGCCTGATTTGGCTTTTACCTTTATTTTTACCCTTATTTAATCAAAGATATTACAACTATTAGGCCTTTAATGAGAAAGTTACAAAAAATTATTGATCCTTA